ATTATACATGCTAAGCAAAAACTCTACCTCTGACTGACACCCCTAGCCCCTGACCATCTAACTAGTGTGTGTCAGCAGCTTTTAGATTAAATCATTTTGCCAGTTCCATGCAGTACACCAAAAATGTATTTCATTGGTCTTTAAATGCTGCAGTAGCATATCCCTAACAATCTGCACTAGTTTTGGTGTGTCTGGATGATAATATTGGGATATTTGGATCAAGGCCCAGTCAGAAAACAGAAATCAAAGCAGTTGTTTTTACAGACAATTTAAGAAATTGCTGGAAGAGATATGGAGGGCTAGAAGGGACAAGGGAACACAGCAGCAGCAGAGGGACTTAAGGCAGGAAGCAGCTGCCGTTCAACTAGGCAGAGGGAATCCTTGGGCTGCAGGGACTCAGGACCCAGAGGAGGGAGCAGTCCCAGACTGCTGCTGATCTGAAGCTCAGCACTGAGGCTGGATACGGAGAATGGATTAAATCCTAGAAACCAGAACCAGCTGCTGCAGCCAGGGAGACTCATCCCTTGGTAACACTGTTACCAAGAACAAGCAAATGTGAAGGAGCAAGGTCCTTCCCTCCTCCAGCCTTCCAGTTCCTCATGCACCCCCTCCTGACAAAACCTCCCAGGAAATGTTTGCTGAGTGCCACCTAGACACACTGTGGAAGGATGAACTTCCAGATTGTCTTAATCAGCAGCATAGTTAACTCACCATCACAAACACCACCTGTCCTAATACAGGTGTCATGATGCCTAGTAGACACAGTTGCTATACTATATACAACGGGTATATTGTCAGCAATGCATTTTGAAAATAGTGGACACAATAGCCACACCCTTTATAAATACAATAACTGCAGTCTATGTAAGTGCACTCAGCTATGTCAGAGACAGGCACATGTTTGCCCACAACAAAACAATTTATTGAATGAATATAAATTCACAGCCTAGGTCAGTTTCATTGGCTTTAATATTCCTGATTTTACTTGTATCCACAGCCCCAGCAATCACAACTTCCTTTATATAAACCAGTATTAACTCTAAGGTTGTTGTGAATAGGGAGACGTGCCTCATCCTGGACTCCCTCCAATCCCAACCACAGTAGTAGTCTCAGTTCTTGAGGTCCAGAAGGAGAAGAATTCATGTGGGGACACAGGTAAGAAAGGGATTTCAGCAGATGAGAAAGCAAAAGTAGAAAGTACGTCCACTCTCAGGAGCAGAGGACAGACTGAGCAGAGCACAAAGGGCTGCCTGGTAACTGGACTTACGACTCCTAGTCTCCCATTTCTCCTCCCCTTGCCCACCCTTAGGATGGCTGGGTGGTCTCCTTCCTGGAATAAGTGGAAACTTTCTTAGAAACTGCCCTTACCCACAATTCAGTCTGTTACAACTAGATGCATTCCGTTTAAGAAGATGTGTAAGTATGTGACCGCCCACAAAGCTGAGAAATTTACTAAGGGAAAGGGTAACAGTGCCTTGCATCACTCCTTGGTGTGGGGGTATTTCCTGAGAGCTGGCCAGAGCCTGCCAAGACCAAGCTAGGCTTTTTTCCCCCCTCAGAGCCTCATCCTTCCTCTTTTCTGGTCAACTTAGCTGTCTCATAGCAACTGCAAGCCCTCTTATCTACCTTTCTCACTGTTCCCCAGCTTTGCCATTTTCACCCTCACATTCATTTTAGCACTAACATTTGTTTTAGCATTTGTTTTCACAAGATCACATGCTACACATCACACAGCTGTGCGTGACTGAAGGCTCACAGAGGCGGTACTGAAAGTAGAGTCAGAGAGCTAAGGGAGATGGCAAGGAAAATCTTCTGTAGAGGATAGGGTAAGTTTTGCAAACCAAGGCGCAGGTGCAGAGCTGTTCAGGCACAGAGTTGTCAAGTGTAGATCTCGTAGCAGCAGTTTTGAGTACCATCTTGAAGTAGGCCAGGTATCACAGGCTGAAGAAAACGTGCTTTAGCAAGCGTCCAGGGATGAGCAGAGCTCCTTCGCTCCGGCACGTTTCCTGGACAAAGTTCACAAGTGACCAGGTGAGTGTGCCTACCATGTCTCAGTCTTGGGGTGCTCCTTTTACAGTCTCAGGCAAGGGCGATCAATAATTTTGTCTGTTTCTGATATATGACATATTCTCATTTATAATTATTTACCAGCACAGATAAATTACTTATGAGTTTGTGACTCTGGGAATGCCGGTAAATGGCGGTACTTTCCTGTGTAAACAAGGTTATTCTACCTTAGCATTTATGCTCAAAATGGAGTAATATCGGTAAAAACTGTTACTATGTAACTGGAGTAACTCAAGGCTAAGCAGAGTTTGATAGTTGCTGTTCTATCCAAAATAGACTAACCCTGGGGCTGGAGAGATGGTTTAGCAGTTAAGAGCACTGACTGTTCTTGCCCAGGACCTGGGTTTGATGAAAAAGTCAAAGGCTTTGGAAGAAAGATATGAGACTGAGGTTTGCTCCAGTAAAACATTATGAACAGATCAGTAAGTGCATCAGACCTGAACATATCAATGAGTTGAGATGAGATGGGATTGGGGGTCGGTGTGTGAGGCCTTGCCATCGGTTTCACCCAAGTCTTTTAAGTAACAGTGATTTCCCAAAACACAAACAAGGAGGGGATTTCTTTGATCTTCAACATTTTCCAGGAGTACAGGGACAGGGTTGAGGTCAATACTGCCCCCTGAGGAGAGCCACTGGGGATGCTCTGGGTCACTCTATCTTGTTTTTTACACCTTTTTTTTCTAAATTATTTATTTAACAGCCACATACTTAGAAGAAGCATTTCGTTACAACAGCATTGACATATTCAATAACAATTTCCAGAGCTAAGGTTCATCTCTTTCAAAATTGGCTAAATTTTTAGGTTTACAGTTGAATTCATACAGTTATACAATATTGTACTCAGTATAAACCCTATAAGACATAAAATTGAATACGTCATTGACATATGCAATAACAATTTCCAGAGCTAAGGTTCATCTCTTTCAAAATTGGCTAAATTTTTAGGTTTACAGTTGAATTCATACAGTTATACAATATTGTACTCAGTATAATCCCTATAAGACATAAAATTGAATGAGGTTTTAACCTTTAAAAAAGATCTCCAGTTCATTTTAAAATATGCTGTTTCATACAGAGAAACTCATTTTTAATGCTACTTAATGCTCAGATGTTTGCACATGTGTCTCTAATCTCTATGTATCTGATTATTACTAGTCACAGTCAGTTACACTCAGAACCTTGGCACCTGAGTATGGATATGAAGTCATCAGGTAGATTTCAATGGAAATGTTTATTACCTCTACTAATTAACATGAAATAAATTTGTATGCTTCCTCCTCAAATATAAGTACATTATTTTTTATATTTTGTATTACAAACATCTGTGAAAATTGATAATACATATGTTACCCTAAATTATAGCACATTTTTTGGGTCTTTTTGAGACAGGGTCTCCCTGTAGCCCTAGCTATCCTGGAAATCAGTATGTAGACCAGGCTGGCATTGAACTCACAGAGAGCCCCCTGCCTCTGCCTCCGGAGTTCTGGGATTAAAAGGCATGTGCCACCATGCCCAGCAATAGAACATATTTTTTTTAAAAATTAGATATGTATATGAAAACATGAAATTAATATTTTATGATGTGTAATATCTTTGTTCACCCCTGTTCAATCTGACACTAAAGACTGATCATACAAATGTTTTTTTGGAATATTTTTTGATCTTTAAGATGTTCTATAACAGGGGCTGGAGAGATGGCTCAGCGGTTAAGAGCATTGACTGCTCTTGCAGAGGATCTGGGTTCGATTCCCAGCACCCACATAGCAGCTAACAACTGTATAAAACGCCAGTTTCACCCTCTTCTGACCTCCACGGGCACTGCCCAACATGGGTGCAGGCACATAAAAACAAAATATTTTTTAAAGAACTTGCACAGTGTCTTGGGGTCCTACGTAGTCAAGACCAAGTGATACCCATTTTCATGTTATGAGTAAGGCACAGAAACATAAAAGATTTAGTAAAAGCTTTGTAAAGCCAGCCCCTTCTCAGCTAGGAGTCCTGCTTTTTCTTTTTTCTCTTCATTCTATTTTTATTCTTTAGTACACCATCTTGCTGTAGTGAAAAACACTCCATGTGCAGCTACAGAGCAGTCTGTAACACATATTTTTCAACGCTCATAACAAACACGGTTCTCGACGAACTCTGGACGAACCCACAGGACCCAGGTTCGTGAACCTGTGACTGCAGGAGTTCCGTCGCCAGGGTTTGTTAAGGGGCGGCAAACCTGCAGTGCCAACACTCGGGGAGCCAGGGCGCGGAGAAGCCCAGTCCCGGCCGCGGCCGCTCACCTGTGCCCGGGGCGGTGATGTAGGTGCGCCGCGGGTTCGCCAGCACGAGGCCGTCGCGTACCACGCCCACGCCGATCTTGTTGGCGCTGCCTTCGAACCCCAGCACGGCGGGCATGGCGGGCCGCACTGCACCCGCAGCCTGGGAGCTCGGCCGCCCCCGACTCGGGATCCTCGGGAACCGGCAGCACCGAGAACAGCCCGAGAACCGAGACTCGGGACCTTCCGGCGCCGCGGGAGCGCCAAGCCAGGGGGCCTCTGTCACGTGGTGCCGTGCCAACCAATTACCGTGCCCCGAGGCCACGTGGGCTCTCGGGTCACGTGACCACGCCAGCCGCCCACGTGGGGACGGGCGCTCTCGGTTCTTTGTGCTTGGTGGGGATTCTTGGCTGCGCCCGGAGGTTGAGTAAAGCTTGTTCTAGTGGGTTCGGTGTCCACGCCGCGGCTGGGGCGGGCACCGATGCGGGCATGCTGCAGTTTGGACCGCGCGGCGGGGCCGGGAGGTGCGGGAAGTCAGGACCGAATGGCGGCAGGAGGCGTGGGACCGCTTGAGGAGCGAGGCTCGTTCCTCTCCTCGTGGACTTGACTTTTCTTTTCGTCTGTAGGCAACGTAGTAAAAACGCTACTTCGGTTCGCGGCGTGGTCCAGGCGCCGGACGTCTTTCGTCACAGGGATGCCAAAGCGTGGGAAAAAGAGAGTGGCGGCCGAAGACGGGGAAGAGCCCCAGCGGGGTAAGGGAGTTGCACTGAACTCCTTCCTGTCCTTGCGAACTGCGCATGGGTGTTTCTAACCACCGTGAAAGGTAGAGAGGCCAAGTTATTTGTGCAGGTGTTTGAGAAGTCAGGGCAGCAGAGGTGCGCTTGGGCCTAGAGATAACTCTGGATTGGGGTTGGAAACCGCCAGCTTGTATCACTGTTAACTCGCTTTTACAGAGCCAGAGACCAAGAAGAGTAAGGTGGGAGCAAAGAAAAACGAGAAAGAGGCGACAGGAGACGGCGCAGTTCTGTATGAGGACCCTCCAGATCAGAAAACCTCGCCCAGTGGCAAATCCGCTACAATCAAGATATGCTCCTGGAATGTGGACGGGCTTCGAGCCTGGATTAAGAAGAAAGGTTTAGATGTGAGTACAGTTGAGGGGATTTGACAGCCTGATCCCGGGGTGCGTCACCTGATTTCAGCCGCCAGGATGTTACTTATCTCTGGCCTGTAGTTTTCTAGTGGGATGGTTCATCGACTGTTACCTAAATATCTATCCCTTCCTTCAATTCCATTACAATCCCCTCGTGAAGTACCTTTTCCTCTTCCCGAGAAAGTTGCAAAAGCCGGTTTCCAGGACTTCATTCTAGCTCTAGCATATCCCCCATCTGATACTAAGTTCTAAGCTGAGGGATAGTGCAGACGTCACTTGCTTCTCTTCAGAGGACCCAGGTTGGGTGCCCATCACCCCCTGGGATGGCTCATAAGGCCTGTAACTCAAGCTCCAGGGGATCTGATGTCCTCTTCTGGCCTCCATGGGCACCTGCACACTTGTACTATACACTCACATTCACATAAATAAAAAAAATCTTAAAAAACAACCAATACTGTTAGTTATCCACTGGTTGTAGAAGAAATAGTGTCCTTAGTACATCATTTAAAGACATTCTTCAAATTACAAATGCATGATTTATAATTGTCCTGCTACTTATGCACAGGGATGGTTATGTGCACATGAAGTTGTTCACTAAAAGCCTGCCAAGTTGGTAACCTTCCAGGTTTTTCATTCAGTGGGTGAAGGAAGAAGCCCCAGATATCCTGTGCCTCCAAGAGACGAAATGTTCAGAAAACAAACTACCAGCTGAACTTCAAGAGCTGCCTGGACTTTCTCATCAGTACTGGTCAGCTCCCTCCGACAAAGAAGGATATAGTGGTGTGGGTCTACTTTCCCGCCAGTGCCCACTCAAAGTGTCCTATGGCATTGGTGAGACTGTTGGTTCCTAACGTCTAAGCTTTTCACAGTTAATACTGCCCCCGCCCTGATGTTTATCCCTTTGTTCTATGCTTTTCCTTTTCTGGTTCTGTTATGCTGATCCTCAGTTTATTTCTATAGGTGAGGAAGAACATGATCAAGAAGGCCGGGTGATTGTGGCTGAATTTGAGTCATTTGTGCTGGTCACAGCCTATGTACCTAATGCAGGCCGTGGTCTGGTGAGACTGGAGTACCGGCAGAGCTGGGATGAAGCCTTCAGAAAGTTTCTGAAGGGCTTGGCTTCCCGTAAGCCCCTTGTGCTATGTGGGGACCTCAATGTGGCTCATGAAGAAATTGATCTTCGTAACCCCAAAGGAAACAAAAAGAACGCTGGCTTCACTCCCCAAGAGCGGCAAGGTTTC